ATTGTCATAAACAAGCAACACATGGCAGTTTATTGTCGGACTAGGGTCCTCGTCTTCAAAAGAGATGTTTGCAAATATCTCCACGCTTTGCAAACAGGTTGGAGATTGTAGTTTAAAATGATTGGGTCTATCACACGCCGCTACCTGGTATCTGTTATAAATTTATGTAATCCCATCGACTCGACTTTTATGACGCACCCGCGGGAAGAGTAGAAATGCTGAGAAATGCATTCTACGTAACCGTCATCACACGATAAAAAAACAATCAATTATATGAAACATATAATAAGTGTGGGAGAGCCATGCTTCGGCATGAATGGGCCGGCTCGACCGGAGTCATACCACGGCCTCACAGAAAACCGACGTGAAGCAACGCTTGCGTTGTGTTTCGTCGTGTGAGTGAGGTTACCGGAGGCCCAATTATCCTTCCTTTACCCAATCTCCCCAATTCCTGAATCCCCAACGATCCTCAAACTTCTAATCCCCAAAAGGCCGGTAACGCACTTGCAACGCCTTTGGTGTTCCAGGTGAACATGGGCGACGCCGATTGCTTACCATCAGGTTATCCTAAATCCTAAAAAAAACAATAAATAATTTATCGACTTCAATTCCCTCTTTATTTGAAGTCGATTAATTAGTATACATAGCATTCTTCTTCCTAAATGTAACAAATACTTTTCTGAATACTTCATCAAAATCGGTTCAGCCAATCGCGCACAAACATACATACAGTTGAAACTTAGAACTTCCTTTTTGAAGTCGGTTAAAGAGTATTATTATTAATCACCAATATTGATGACTGAAGTAAGATCCCTAACATCATCTTTCACCAGTTACAGTTTGATTGGAGGTCGTATATCAGTGCAATAATAGTTGTGAGACCCAGTGAGTGACGCCAGCGTGGTTGCGCTATTAATATAGTAATCACCACACTGACTAGTTCGATCGTCAAATGAAACACGCGTTTATATTCTAATATTCGCACTAGTGATGGGAATTGGAGTTATCGATGTTCCGAGATTTAATGACTGCTTGGGTCGGTTGGAAAATTCTCGTAAGCGCTACTGCTGAACAAGATAGGCAAATCAAATTTTATTTCTCTGGTCATACAAATGATAAGATTTTTTGATGTGAAGGTGTTTTGTATGATTTTGTTAATTTCAGTGTAGTAATAAATGGCATTTGCCTTCACAATGATACTGCTTAGTTGAAAACTAGTGATTCATTCAGGAAAGTCTAGAAGAGACAATTTGTAATTACAATAATAATATTGTAATCATTTCTAGAGTTCTCATGCTTTTAAAATACATAATTCAATATTCAATGCAAATTAAAAGTGTTGGCCGACTTAATTATCAATACATAGTATAAAACAAAGTCGCTTTCGCTGTATGTCCGTATGTATGCTTAGATCTTTAAAACTACGCAACGGATTTTGATGCGGTTTTTTTAATAGATAGAGTGATTCTTAAGGAAGGTTTGTATGTATATACATATTGCACCCGTGCGAAGCAGGGGCGGGTCGCTAGTAAAAAATAAATCACAATAATTATTCGATTAAATTGAGATTATTTGCCACGGCTCGATGTTAAGATTACAATAATTCACATTAATAAATCATAGAACGGGCTCAGCCCCTGCCGTGACCTATAAACTAAATTCAAACCAATTGCAAATTAGTTCCAATTTAAAAACATTTTGTTTACTGTAATTCTCTTAGCAATTAATAATTAAAAACACTACTGTGAGACACGAAAAATGTTAAACATTTTGATTAATTCTCATTTTATAATAAACTATGTTTTTCTATCCATAATACAAATATAAGTTTTACTGCATACAATATGGCAACATAAAGCGATAGTTTCAGACGCAACATAAAAATATCGATATAAATCTATTCCAGTCAACACATCACTAGTCCATATCGTTAGACCCATAAACGCGAACGGCTTATTATTTCCATATTTAACGATGATTGCACACACGTATGGAGCAATTTCACAATATTACCATCAGCTTTCTAAATTAGAGTAAATGGTGAAAAACTTGGGCTTTCAACGTTTCAACCGACTTCTAAATTGAAGTCCTTGAATGAAGATGTTATAGTGATGGGATGAGATTACATATCGATTATTATGTTATGGAGAAGGGTAAGAAGGTGATCCGATATTTTTATGAGGTCGTGAGCTTTTTGAATGGGAGATATGGCTTTTGAAATTCTATGTTCAGTATTAAGTGCATATTAGATATACGTATTAAGCCCTTTTCATCATGTTCTAGTAATAAAATAATAATGGACTTAGTGCAAATGCATCTTAATTATGAATATGTAATATTTAATAATTATTTCATAAACTACTTTTAAAAAACCGACTTCCAACCCCCCTTTTGAAGTCGCATTATTAATATACTAGAACCTTCTACTAAAAATGTGACAAACATATCCATACATATACACACATACATATAAGTCAAACATAGAACTTCCATTGTTTGAAGTTCGTTTAAAAAACAAAATATTGTGTACGTAAACTTATTAAAAATATCTTTTGAACCATTTTACTAACAAACTACAATATTTTTTGGGACGTTCAGTTTTACATCCAAATTAATATGTAGGTAAAAACAAACATAGGTTTGTTTAAGCGTAGGCCTAAAATCAGAAAACCTCTGATGGATTAACGTGTGTTAGCTTTGAACATATTGTTCGGTTTCCCGGGTTTGTCCAATCAGGCGCCATGTTGTGTAAATGAAATGGTTTGATAGCACACACTGATTTAACATATTGCCTCAATTTTTGAATCTATGCGGAAACAAATCCATTGTTCATTCTATTAGTTTATTTGGGTGAATATTTATTCTGTAGGTAGGTACTATCGTGTTTTTGTGTTATTCGTTGAAGATTTTTTTAAATAATTTTGTTAGTGTGAATTTTTTGATACTATTGTTGGTTGTGAGCTAGAGTCAGGATTAAAAAAAATATTTTAAACTTTATTTTAACAATTAAGTATTTGGATTTAAGACATAAAAACACGCCTTTTTATCCTCGAAGGGGTAGGCAGAGGTGCACATTTCGGCGCTTAATGCCACTGCACAATGTAACAGCCACTTTTCACTATTCATGTTATGAGTCCTATGTAATAGGGGGTGACGTGATTAGATTTTTAAACAATAGACAAACTAAATTATATTCAAACTATACTGATTTCACTTAAAAAAAAAGATAAACTGAAAAACATGCATGCTCCCCAATTCAGCGTATTAATTTAACTTATACTGAATATAGAAGTCTCATAAAACTTCAGTTTAAGTTAACAGGACGCCACGTAGCAAGATATTTATGATTCCCGACGCCAACTTGTAAACTAAAGAAACAGTTTAACTTAGTTTAACAGTTAACGCGTTTTGAGATAAACAAGTGCAGTATAAAGTTAGTTTTAACTGTTTAGTTATAAGAAAGAAGGCACTTTTATATTGTTCTATTAGTTTTATAGTACCTAATTTAAGTTCGCGTCTTTTTGTGAGGTATTCCTCATAGCGCTCCCGTTTTGAAGCGCGCCCATCTAAGCGCTCCCGTTTTATTCCTTTAAGCGCTCCCAAAAGGAGCGCTTTGAGGAACGATTAAAAATATTAAAATTTATTTCCTCGAAGCGCTCCCATGATTAACTTTCGGATAGAGATGGGACTTTACTAATTGAAATTATCGATAAGAACTAGGTAATAAGTAGAACACATTGTTATAATATGCAACTAGCGGCCAATAAAACAAAAAAAAAAATACAATAAAACAAAAAAAATAAAATTACCAAAGAAGTGCGAAACCGCGACCGGCCGCTAGGACTGGTTTGGTCATGTAAAAAGGATGGATAACAGTAGAGTAACGAAAAAGTAGACAAAGCGGATATGAATTGGGCCGCCCTAGACGGACATATACTGAAGGACATATAATATTAAAGAAGGGCCAAATTAAAAGTACCCTTAACCAACGAGCACGTAGGAAATTATTGATGACTGTTGATGAAGCAAAAGAGATATGTACTTTAATACTTATAGTACTTTGTGACGTAGGAATCACAAAGTACTACAATACTAAAGTGTATGCTGTTGTGTAAACTACTACATTGGTAGCCAGGTACCATACACTTTATACTATGAACAGACAGACTGCCGTAAGACTAACATATTGTGTCCTGCACTCAACCTTTACGACTTGCACTGTCAACGAGAGTAGCTTTTTCTCAAAATTGCTGACGTATTTATGTTACAACTACACCTAGCATTCTTTACTTTGTCTAGAGCATAAATGTATCTACCCCATAATTAAAAACTTTGGTTTATTAGATCGTGGCTGTTCTATATCTATTTTTTGTATAAATATAGAACATGCTTCGGCACGAATGAGCCGGCTAGACCGGAGTGATACCACGGCCTCACAGAAAACCGACGTGAAGCAACGCTTGCGTTGTATTTCTTGCCTTGTTTATCGTCGTGTGAGTGAGGTTACCGAAGGTCCAGATACCCTTCCCCCTTCCTCAATCCCCGAATCCCCCACAATCCTCAAACTCCTAATCCCTAAAAGCAACGGTAATGCACTTGTAATGTTTCTGGTGTTCCAGGTGTCCATGGGCGGCGCCGATTGCTTACCATCAGGTGATCCGTCTGCTCGTTTATGCCATAAAAAAAAAACATGAAACTAATCTTCCAACGAGACAAACATAGACACAACGTAAAGATTTTCTTCACCGCAAATCACTTAGCAAACTTCTCACCTAAATTATACAAGTACACATAATACCAAAAGTATATAAAAATAAATATTACTTAAGAAAAACTCTCGCTTGTGGCGAAGTTACGAAAACTCGTGTTAATATCTAGTAATAATGTTTAGTACACTTTCACGGGAACCGTATGTTTGTTTGTCACATTAGCATATATGTATGGCCGGCAACAAACTCTGTGAAATGTCATTTTATAATACGACACTGAACTGAGCTGAAGGTCTGAAAAATCCGGATTTTTTAGTAAAAAATATTAATTAGTTGATTTTGGATTTGTGGTCAAAATGAAGGCGCTGGTAGTGATTTTAGTAATTATGTTAACTTGCGCCGTGGAAGGGTCTGATAGAAGTGAGCGATCAAATGAAGTGGAGCCTAGAGGGAAGGCGAAATACGCGTTAATTAGTGAGTATTTTAAACCTCTAAATTATTTACTGAATTTATAGTTATTCAGGGACACCTTACACTTGTAAATATTATTGAACTAAGCTGGTACAAAATAAAACGATACAATAGAGCTTAATAGTTTGAACTTTAGAAGTTAGTAGGCTGTTTAGAAATAATATTTTGGAAATCTAGATCCTAAGTTGTACGCTCCGAATACATATTTTGACTGCATGGTTGGTGCTGTGGGTGGGCAACTGGCTGCCGCGCAACCTGTAGTGGGTCCGATTCCTGCACGAAGCAACTCCTTGTGTGAACCATAAATTGTTGCTCCAGGTCTGGGTGTTATTTGCATGTGCTCTTATATGTTTGTAGTCGCACCCAAGACACAGGAGAAAATCTATGTGCCCCACACTAGGGTTTTCTCCTGTTTAGAAAAAAATAAATGAATATTGTTTTTGGAAATGAGAAAATATTACATACAAAAAACATATCGAATCAAATTTCGAATTCACTCTCACCTACGTTTATACAAATTTATTTATCCTTTCTTTGTACTTATATAAAAAGAAATGTATACATATGTTGATTACTTCTCTTCTCAAATGAATAAAGTGGGCAGACAATAATACTCACTCAAGTCCTACAATAGACATCTTGATAAAACTTTTAGAGAATGGCAAAAAGGTTTCGCATTCTTTCAAACTCCTTGGGACTTCAATAGCATCTATTCTAGAACTAAATAGATAGTTAAACTTTACCTATTTGTAATATCTTTTGTTAAAATGTATTGTTAACAAAAGGGCATATGCCAGTAAGTATGTAATTAATCTGTTCTTATTCTATCTTAAGTTCTTATTACTGTTTAAACGTAATCATAAAACTGAGAAACAATAATAATCGAGGTATAGTAAATGTAAGATTCAACAGAGATGGAAGTAAAATACTATAATTTGTTTTGTTTTGAACTGAATCTAGGCAATGTTATGATTGTTAGGTAACATTATTAAAGTGTTTTAATTTTTGGGATTTTAAACAAAAGTCCTAGTGTTACCGAATAGATAATAATTAACCCGTTTAGGTACATATAACAACATAGTAGATGTCGTCGCTTATATGTTGTTATATTACGTAGTCAATATTATATGAATATTATGATAGTATGCTTAGCATTGGTTTGCACACGTGCGTGGTAATTTGACTAACCACATTTTCCTGAACGCGAAAGTTTTTACATCCGTATTGAGATTGCGTCAGTGCCTGAACCTAATAATATGAATGAATTCTTCGAAACGATTAGCAGACGCTGCCTTGCCGTAGGGGATTACAAATAATACTAATATTTATTTAATACTTGATATTTAGAATCATATAAGTACTAATGTATCTGCTATTTTCGATATTGATATCACTACTGAACAATCATGGCAAAGTCAATGTCAGTACCTATCCATAAATGATAAACATAACAGAGAAAATCTTACAAACATCAAAAACTAAGAAATCTCAACAAGAACCTGATTGCTGATTCCAGCAGCATCCAATGTCGGTTTATACAGCAAATTAAAGTAGAAGTCTGGACCGGGGATTTAAATCTGAATCGGGAACAAATTGGAAACTTCCAGCGTAGCTCGGGCCTCGGCAAGATTTTAAGATTTTTTAAAAAACCGTCTCGTATTGCTGCTCGCGATGAGAAGTTTGATATTAAGGAAGAAATACGACGGTTAAGAGTAAAGTTCCGATCAAATATTTGTCGAAGAAAATACTTTGTAGATGGATATGTTTAGTCAACGTTGCGCGCGCTGACTTTAAATAAGGATTTGCTTCAATCCGAATGCAATTTGGAATATAAAATGTGTATAGAGCTACTTTATTATTTCCTTCTTTATGTTTATAAAATTGGGTTGCAATGTTTGTTCTGTAGATATTTGTTTTCCTTTATCAGCTGGTATAATATGAGCATAATACCTATTCATTTAAACCATTTGTTTCGTCACTTTTGTGTGTGATTAATTTGTCTTTTATGCAACAGAAATAGTATTTCTTACCCACAGTTTTTTCTGAGCTTTATGCAATATATCAATACGGACTATTCCTCCTCAGTCCATTCTCAACATAAAAATGAAACTATACCAAAGTATTTCTCTTTGTTGCAGCCAACCTCGCGATCCTATTGGCTGCGAAAGTTGGACTGTATAAACTGGTTCTGGTCATAGCTCTCACGGTAGCTAGTCTGAAGATACTCCTCGTTATGGTCTGGGCTACAGTCATATACAAGCATGTGCCGGACCCATACTTGCATTATCAGAAAACGGAGCCGTTTCCACACTTTCAGGACAAGTTCAGCCACCATAGGGAAGGGTATCAGGCACTGGATCTCATTGCTGACTTTGTTAAAAAGCGACAGAGGCGGTATTAGGTGTGTAAATGTGTTTTGATCGATTCAAACTGTAGGATAAAGATAAAGATAGTTTATTTGCAAATATGGGTAATACAATATGTGGTGTTTAGGTACATTGCGAGCTCAACCATATTTTACCAGGAGGCAGGCAAATATGAATTAACAGATTATTAAAAGAATAAAATTATATAAAATGAAATCAATATTATGCAATGTACTTATTAAATTGATTACAGAAATTAAAATAGTCGCATTAACAAAATATAGGTACGATGTCAAAAGATTAAAGTTAAGAAATGTTATAGTAAAATAGATGAAATGTCCAAGTTATTTAGTACCTATTTAAAATATTATTCTATTCCATTGTCCATTAGAAAATCTGCAACATTGTAATATGCCTTGTCAACTAATAATTTTCTCAATTTGTTTTTTAATATTGACATACTCAAATTTCTCCAGGATTTAGGTAATTTATTAAAGATTTTAGGTGCCATGCAACAGACACTTTTGCCCATTAGTGTTGTCTTCGCTCTTTGAAGACATAGTTGACTATCGTCTCGTCTACTTCGTGCTACTACGTCGTTCATTTTCTTAAAATAATGTGGATTTGACTTGACAAACATAGCCATTTCCATTATATAAATACACGGTAATGTTAAAATGTTAAGTTCTTTAAAATACGGGTAACAACTATCAGTAGTGTTTAGTTTATACATTGACCGAATGCACCTTTTTTGGGCCTTGAATGCCATATCTTTGTCGGTTGAATTACCCCAGAATATAACCCCGTAACGAAGATGGGATTCAGCTAAACCGTAGTAGGCGGTAAGAAGCGCTTCCTTAGAAACCTTCAACGATAATGCATGTAAGGCATATGCGGATTTACTTAGTTTCTTGCAAAACTTGACTACATGTGATTTCCAGTTCAGATTTTGATCTATTTCCAAACCCAAAAATTTAGTGCTTGCAACTTTATCCACTACTTTATTGTTATAATTCGCGTTGAGGTTTTTACTGGGTATTCTTTGGCTAAAATGCATTACGCTTGTTTTCGTTAGATTAATTTTTAAGTTATTGTTATTTAACCACGTTATGACTGTCGGTAAAGCATTATTAATATCATTTTCATATAATTTAGGATCAATGCAGGGTATAGTTATGGTACTATCGTCGGCAAACAGAGTTAATGGTTGACCAACGTGTTTCGGAAGGTCATTTATATACAATATAAAAAGTAACGGCCCCAGATCGCTCCCCTGTGGTACTCCGTATCTAACTTCACGTTCAGACGACCGAAAAGTTTCTTCGTAATTATTTTCATTCATTCTACATATTTCAGTTATTTGTATTCTGTTACGTAAATAAGATTCTATTAAGCTTAGAGTGTTCCCTCTAATACCATAGGCTTCAAGTTTATTCATGAGTGTATCAAAGTGTACATAATCAAACGCTTGTGTCATGTCGCAGTAAATGGCACATATAGGTACAAGTATATAAGGACTAAATAAATTATTATGGCCGCGTCGCGGGTCGCGAAATGCTGCTCATGAATATGAGCCTCTAGCATGGCTTGAAACTAGTCGAGTTCCTCGTCAAATCATTACGTGAGTAAGCCGAAAACATAATAATTTATTTGGTATGTCTCACGAAAGTTACAATACAAATATTTAAGGACTATTTAGAATTTATGCTTACGATACAAAATGTGTACTTAAGTTTAATTGGCACGGTTACGTTTTTATTACAACTATATTAAGCGTATGTATGAACTTTTTTCGCAGAACAGTAAAAAAATAAGTTAATTAGTACCTTACGTTGCGTTGTCTTGTACATACAACCACAATAATTAGTATCCTTATTAATCTTTTGAGAACCGTTCAATTTAATAGTCTCAATTTTTGTCCTGAAAATCCCTTAATCAAGGATTGTCTAATAACCTTACTTCTTGGACTAAATAATACTAAAAAAAATGTCTCTTTGTTCACAGTTCACTTCTTCTACGTGGTAGCGACAAAGCTGATCGTCCTTAAGATGGTCTACGGAGCCCTGTTTTACGTCCTAGTCACAAAAGGATGGCAGTTCGTCCTCTGGTTCATACACTACCTGAAGAAACACAAACATGACCATCACGAATATATCGAAGACCATCATTTCGACCACAGTTATGGACATCACGACCATTCCTATGGCCATCAAGACCATCCTTATGGTCATTTTGACCATGATGACTCTAGTTATGGCAGTTTGGATTATCAACCTTATGGCTACGACAAACATGGTTATGGAAGCGACTATAAAAAGAGGATATATGATGCGGATGGATCTTATGCTGTTAAAGGACAATAAACAAATTAACATAGCTAGCTAATGTAGGATGAACTTATAGGATATTGCCGTGTCTCCAAGCGTTCACCGCTCTCCACTTACTCTATTTTAGACCTTATTGCCAATGTTTAGAGACAACTTTTGTATGAACAAATGTTGTGGATTATTCGTAATCGTGGATTTAGAAGTTAAGCATAATAATTCGCTATGTTATAGTTTGGGTATTAATAATTTGATGACATCTGAGGAATGATGCGTTATTTTACTCTCACCATTTATTTATTTTTACTATAAATGAACTTGTAAATAATAAAGCCTAAGTCAACATTAATAATAATACTTTTAAGTCAATTATTAGCATTAGTGCCATCATGTGACATGTACATAGTACTTTAGATTTAAATTATTTATTTAATTTATTAAAAGAAAAGTTCGAAATTCATCGTTTAATTTATAAATGTGTCATAATTAACGACTTTGACATTGTTTGGTATAAGAGAAATAAAGGGAGAATAATGAGACATCCATTGAGTGTTAGATACTGACTAAAAACCACCCCGTTTCTACTCCTGCAGTTCGAGCCGGAGCCCCGGCAACCCGTTAAGTTCTCAGCTCCGTATCGACATCAGTCCTATTGGGCCCCATCCATGGTGGTCTGATGACTCTTAACGCGGCGCGCCTGTACACTCGGCAAACATAGCCTTACACTAGCCGTGGGTGCGTTTACAAACATACTAGTTCACGTCATACACATGACACCCAGACTCGAAACAACAATTAGTGGACCTCAGTTGTTCCGTGCGGATATCGAACGCGCGGCACGCTGCACGGCAGCCGGTTCCCCAGCCATCGCATCAACCGTGCAGTCATGCTGTAGTATTCTGAAGAGATACGTGTTACGTAAAGAAACGCCTACAATTGTTCACTATCTTTACATACTGATTATAAACTAAATTAAATAAACATAATTTGAATTGTAACTTTTGTGAGACATACTAAATAAATTAGATATACTAAATAAACTTGAATCTTATAATTATAGGTAGGTACACCAAAATCTTATAGTACTAATAATGATTACATAATGATAAACAAGTTCTAGGAATATATAGAATACAACCAGGCGTTACTATGCTCAGAATTTCTAGGAAACACAAACCAATAACATATTCTTCGCCCCGGAGTCCCAGACCTAAGAGCCTATATAAAGTAGATACCTAGCTTCTATAAAGGTAATTTTAAGACTGCACGGTTGGCGCGTTGGCTGGGCAACTGGCTGCCGCGCAACGTGTCGCGGGTTCGATTCCCGCACGGAACAATTCTTTGTGTGATCTACAGATTGTTGTTCCGGGTCTGGGTGTCATGTGTATGTGATATTGTATGTTTGTAAACGCACCCACGACACAGGAGAAAATCCTAGTGTGGGGCAACGTCTCTTTAAAAAAAAAAAACTAATACTGATTACATAATGATAAACAAGTTCTAGGAATATATATTTTCTACAAATTTGTATTCTACAATCAGGCGTTACTTTGCTCAGAATTTCTAGAAAATACAAAACAACACGACTCGGGAGCGAATAATATGTTATTCGCTCCCGAGTCCCAGACCGAAGAGCCTATTTAAAGTAGATACCTAGCTTCTATAGAGGTTATTTTAATGCCTAAACCTATTAGTTCAGATTACATAAGTTCCTTATACCTATTAAAGTCTGGAGAGGCAATCAATCTATCAAATATTTCATGTAGATCTTAGGGCTGACATTCTGTTGAAATTGTAAGCTAAATTGATGAGAGAATTATTTTGTACTACATTTGTTTATTTATCGTTCAAAAGTGCCTTTCTGGTCTAATTGAAATAAATGATTTTGGCTTTGACTTTGACCCTTTTGTTGGTTGAATTGTTATAAGTATTGTTATAAGTCTGTTAGGGAATTGGTCTCGGGTTCGATTTATAGGTTAGGAAAAATAATGTTGAGTATATTACAGGTTTTTGAAAATTCCCTGTAATAAAACGGAGTCTGGGATTGTGTCCGACATATCACAATAGGATAAACTTTGTTTCAAGTCAACGAAACTGATTTCTAATCGATACAAGTAAAATACTAATTTATCTAACACAGACAGATTTCAAAGAAGTGACTACAGACATATTACGTTAGATTAAATAAACTTCTAATTTCACGGTTCAGATTCAACGAATTTTAATAAAATTGTTACAAGTTAATATTCACGACCGACACAGTGGATTTGATAACAAACTAATACAACACACATCCTGTTGCTTTTCCACGATAATATACAAAGTTAACAATACTAAGACTTAGAAAACAGAGAAAACTAACTAGTCACACCGATTCCCTTTCACATGAAGTCAGTGTGTAGTCTAGAATGTTATCTGAAATGTGAAAGCTTAGGGAAAGCCTTGTGCCTGACTCTCTATAGTATGTTATGAAATATTATAAAGAGGAAAGCTTTGTATTTTTGTATTTTTGTATGTTTGTAATGAATAAACTCAAAAACTACTGGACCGATTGCAATAATTTTTTCACCATTAGAAAGCTGCATTATTCAGAAGTAACATAGGCTATATAATATCACGCTAGGTCCTATAGTTGTGGAGCAGTAACCAAAAATGTTTTAAAAACGGGGGAAAAGTATCGTTTCTGGGGCCTTCCGTGGCGTGCGCTGAGCATATAGTTAAAGTTATACAAAAATGCTCTATAGATGAATTGTTCATCTTAACATTATTTTTAAAAAAGTCCGCGAGAGCATATGTCTACCTTTTATAGTTTACCCATAACAATCGTTTTAATGAATGGTTAAATCCTTATAAAAGTTTGCTTTAGATAACTTTTGAATTGTTCAATCGGTTACCTTAAGACTATTAATTCATCCAAAAGATACCTATTAGGTAAGTATTTACCTACTATTTCAAAAATAATAAACTGAGAATAAATATAAACAAAACGTAAAACTATGTAAAAAATCTTAAGTCCCCCCGTGCGAAGCCGGGACGGGCCGCTAGTATGTTATGAAATAAGATGTAATGAAATGTGTGTGAGTAATATTACCTACACAAGGCTGTGATATAACTTCTATCCACACTATAGTACTTGTACCCTTATTTCATAGTTTTTCGGCACACGAGTAGACGGATCACCTGATGGTAAGCAATCGGCGTCACCCATGGACACCTGGAACACCAGACGGGTTACATGTGCGTTACCGGCCTTCTCGGATTAGGAATTTAAGGATTGTTGGGATTCAGGGATTGGGGAAAAGGGGGGAGGGATGTCGTTGGGCCACCGGTAACCTCCCTCACACGACGAAATACAGTGCAAACGTAGTTTCAAGTCGGTCTTCTGTGAGGCCGTGCTATCACTCCGGTCGAGACGGGCCTTTCGTGTCGAAGCACTAACAGTTGCCGCGGTTTTAAGGTAAGGACTCGCGGTTGCGGTCATCGCCCGTAAACTTGGCGTTTGATTATCGCAAGATGGACGGTTTGACAATCAGTTGAGTTCTAAACAGGCCTTCCCATTGCGATCGCTAGCCAACCTATCGCAGAGCGCGCGGCGGCTGCGAGACTGCAAGCGCGCGTCGGTGCAGCGGGAGCCGCTTCGATTTTTTATATAAACGTGTGTATTCTACAAAAACTGCGGGCCCCCAACCAAGGCGGGCGCGAAAGAATATCGTGCCATGAGTCCTCAACCTTATTAAATGCTTATGACGAAAATGTTTTAACATTGTTAGTTATTTCACTATTAAACTATTCAGAATATCAGAATAAAGTTAGGAAACAGGTCTTTTGTTTACTAGATGGTGCCAATTAGTGTGAGGTCTTATTTGTGTAATAGAGAATTTTCTAGTGTCAAAACGTCGGTCAGTCGTTGTTTAACGGATACAGTGGTTGGACCCATACATTTGAGCCATCTAGTAAAAAAGTTAGCCCTCAATGAACATTTTCAAAAGGGAGACAGAAATCAAAATATATTTCAAAATAAATACGTGCAAAGTATGTAAGTATCAGCCCTAGTATATTTCCATATCCGTTGGGATAGGGGAGTGGTTGATGGCTCGCAAGGGCATCTAAATTTGGAGCCTGTGCCGTAATGGAGCGGTGCCGGCGGGCTTGTCATTATCCTGCTCTCGTAATCATCAGTGTCGTCTCGCTAGACGTTCTAGAAATTTCTAGACGACTAAGATTTTAGTGCTCAATTAATTATTAAGCTTGTTTCAGATATGTAGGTTGTAGATAAGGCTTGTGATGGAACTATTGCCGAAACTAAAGCTTGTAATAATTGCTCTTGTTTATTCGTTATAGTTCAACTGTAAAATACTAAACAAAAAGTTACTTGTTCTCAAAAATATATAGCGAATGGTTTGTATTCTAAACCAGGAAACATACAGGTTGTTGTTAAAATATAACATTTCAAAATTACGCAGCAAACAATAAAAATACATTGTGCACCGACTTTAAACAACGGCTTTTATGGGCAGCATGTCGACAGCTCCAGTGCCGAATGATCGCCACTCGTCGACAATTCATTTTTACAACTGCGCTCGATTGTACACGATTATGTTGTTTGGGAAGTTAAATGGCGACGATGTGTTCAAGTTACATTGTTAACGACTGTACGCTACAATTTAATGAGTTTGTTAAAGTTTTGTTGGTGTATCGTGTTCAGGGTTATGGGCTTATCTGTATGTCTTATGGGTTACAACTTCTAATCCAATTTCGTAATTTATTTGGTATTTGTACAATTTTGCAGCTGTTTGTATTTAACTCAGAACCACATCCTGTATATTAGTGGTTTGCTTTGCTGGAATAGGTATATGAAGTTTTTTCGTCTATAACCTAAGACTATATTTATAAATGACTAGCTTTTACCCGCGGCTTCGCTCGCGTCACAAAAGGATAAAAAGCAGCCTATGTGATATATACCAATAACACAGCGCCATCTATACCAATACTTATGTTTTCCCTCGGGAATATCAAATTTTTCCGGGATTAAAAGTACCTACCCTATTATTTAATCCGGACTTCGAACTTTACGTCTGCAAAAATTCAAAGCATTCGGTTTAGTAGTTACTGCGTGAAAGCGGAACAAACAAAAAAAAC